ATACAACAGGATGAGCGAAGCTCGATCGGTGTCTGATCAACTTGAATAGGATTGGGTGAGGTTGATTTGAAGCTGAATGCTGAATCCACATATTTTTCAATTTCTGGAAACTGAAGTAATGACGATATAGAACTTGTATTTTGGCATATTCGGGAACAAATATTGTGAAGAAAAAAATTCATTCATTTTAAGTTAAAAAGTTGTGACTAAGATTATGCCAAAAAAAACGAAAAATGTCTCGAAACTTCTCTTCGCATGTCTTTTTCCCTTTTTCTCTCTTTTTGTCGTTGTATCTCAATTTTTGTTACATAATTATAATCTTTCTCGCTTATTTAGAATTTTCATCAAATTTTGGATGTTTCAGAAATTATTATTGCTCAAAGTAGAATGAAATATTTAAAAGGAAAGAAGGAATGCTCGAAGTCATCTCCACAAATTGGAGGACTTCGAGCATCCCTTCCTTCCTTTGAGATTATTGTTCGTCTACAAAATGTTTTCTAAAGGTCAACTTCTATCACTACTTCAGTTCTCAAGTATGAAAAATGCTATTTAAGAACCTCATTTCAGATTTTTTTTATTGTCTCGAATTATGTTCACTCGCACAAATATCATTATAGTGGGAATTACATACCAACATTATTGCTGTGAAAACAATTTGAGGTATTTTGTTTCTATTGATTTGACATATCTGTCATCAATCTTCATAAACACAAGAAAATAATATAAAAACATTAACATCATAGCTCGACAAATTAGAAAATAATTGTTACTATACAGATCATTTCACAAACTTGTTGCCTGGCGAAGATCTGTCGAATTATTTTCAATTTATCTTCAGCCTCTTAATGCTATGCAGGGGCGCCCGCAAGGGGGGGGAGGGGGCTTGCTCTTCTCGGACACATTATCAATATTCAATCTCATTGTTTGTCACTCAGATAAGGCTGACAAATTATTCGCCTGTTTTCCTGAATGAATAAAATTAATGATCTAGAAATGAAAAAGTTCGAACTGAAAGTGTTCAGTCAATCACAGATTGTATAGTTTTAAAAGCAATCTTAGTGCTGGAGCAGATATTTTACACGATACTTGTGAAACAAATGATCACGAGTACCTACTACCAGTGGATGAATTTAAGTCTGGAGACAATTTTCGATTCAGAGAGTGTAATACTATTTTTCCATCATCCATAATATATTCGAAATAATTGCCAGTTTCTTTCCTACAACTCGAAACCTGTGATGATAAATGTATTTATTCAGTTGTGTAACACTAACTGAATACTGTACATTATTATTGTGATTATTTCTGCGGACGCCCTTATTGCTATCGAGGATTTTCCGGACATGTTTTATTTGCAGGACGTAAAGAGATCATTCCGAGGAAATTTCTTACCCGAATCATCATTTGGAGTATGAAAAGGGGTGGGGGTGACTTTGATCTGGTGCGGCAATCCTACATCTATCCGATTGACGAGAGCCATAGAGAAACGAAGAGAAAGCAAACAGACAAATATCGTTAGTGTACGACGCTTGGTTAGTCGGGCTTAATATTAGGAGGGTTCGCATTTCAAAATGGAAATCTAATTTTGAGGGACCGTATTTGAACTTTGAGTATAGGATTCCACTCGAGGAGTCTTGAAGATATATACGGTTGTCCAGAAGTGTTTTCTGATATTCCTGATACTGTTACTGATACATCCAAAACGAGGGTGTTTTCTATGATTCAATTTCCAGAAACGAATATTATTAATATTCGTTCGAAGGGAAATGATACATATCTGTTTTCATGCAATATCTTATTGTGACAACTTCAAATTCATATTTCGAACTCAAATATAGCCCGCATCTAGACTTCCATTTACACAGATCGTCAAACCGAGGATATATTTACGAGGTACCAGTCAGGTTTTCACGGTATTCAATCACTAATTTTTTATTTCTAGAATATTTTCGAAAAAACTCATATACGAATTGTTATTGCATAATAAAGGATAACACAGACGCCTCTTTATATCGCATTTTGATAAACCAATCCGCTCTAGAATTTTTTTTTCTACAAATCAACGGGTAATTTCATCGTTTAATCCTCCTGCATACAATAAAGAAGGGTTCCGGGAAAAATTTTACATATTAAGTGAACTCCATTCAATATTCAGAACAAATAATAGTTTATTTCTAGTTTAGATTTTCAATAAAATATCAACATTATATAGAAAATCGTTAAAAGTATTGTATCGTCTCCCATTTGATACACCAACCAATCAATTGTTTGAAATAACAAATACGTATTCTTTAGATGAAATATATAGAATTGAAACTCTTAGAATGTCATATAATATCATAAATAAAAAATTGAAGTCGAGTTTTATGTTGATACGGAATTCTGAAATTCATAATCATGAAACAAGACAATATAACTTGTTTCATCTTGACGCCGCTAGCTCCATCATCAGACACAAAAGATTCACTCATTCATCTTTAACTGAATTCAATAAACTACCTGACAATATAAAAAATTGCAGAAATATAGGTTCATTCAAAAATTAAGTGAAAAAATTGATTATTTCTGAGCGAAGTGGATAAAATTAAACATGCCATTTTTTTTCACAAATATTATTCTTTATTTGTCAATTTACAGTTGTTGATATATTTTGTATAATGATATGTTTACCAATAGGTATATAATTATGTACTTCCTTATACCAGAGCCTATTCTGTCTGGAAGTTATTTGTTCAATAAATAAATAAAAATAAAATAAAAATCAACCGAACAATAATTAGCATATCAATAGATATCAGACTTTCAGGAAACTTTCAAACTGTTGTTAACGCAATCAAAAAAAATTCAAAACATATATACCTACTACTGATTTTTGAAGAAATAGTGGGGATTTTTTTCCATATGAAAATGCGCCAGGACTAGCCTCTCATCCAAAAACATAACCAGTTGAAATTGAATAAACGTAATTTGAGAAGGTTAGAAAAGTTTACAGGGAATCCTATTGTATGCATGAAGACTTCCTATTGATCACCTCTTATATTACACCTTTGAAAGTGTGCATGGAATTTGCGATAATCACCTTGTAATAAGATACACTTGATATCAGTAGACAAGCTATGAGGCACTGAGTTCATTGGCGGAGGCGCCTTATAGGGATTGCAACGTAAAAAGCATGGAAAATCGTCATATTCTTCAAAAATGTGAGAAAGTAGAGACTGCGTGAAATAATTGTCATATAGATACATGGAGAGCGTCTATTAAAGCATCTCTGTTCTTGAACACTTTGATGCATTCATAAAGATTTTTGATACAGCATCATTATTTTGTCACGCTCTGTTCTAGATGCTACGCATTTGGTGTAAACGTTTTTATGAGAAAATCGGTCTTTTGTTTCCTTCTCCTGCGTTATCTGCGTTTTCTAATGGAGAGGGTTTTGAACGTTTTGAAAATTTTCTCAGGTGGACTTTCCAAATCGCAATGGCTTCTTATTTGCGCAAAGATAAATACATCCTATGCAATTGCAACGCATTGTTTTCACACATATCTAGCATGTGAAATATAAGAGGCACGTATGTACCATTTCTTACCTCCTATAGCGCAACTCGATACAAACTTATATTTTCGTCGGCTCGATGAACGCCCCCCCATGTTTCGGTTGAATAAAATATATTATGACTTTTCTAAGTCCCAATCTGTATAACTGGTTCACTTTAATTGAGAGGAGACATAATTGCCACAGGAGTGAAACCACAGGAAAATGTTGCTTATATGCCTTCTGTCCTCCTCGAAGAACATTTTGAAATTTGAGGTTGTGAGATGAAGTTTCAAACAAAAATCAATAATCGAAATACTTCAGTCTTAATTTCTAACACAACCGCATTGACATCAATCTGCTTAGTCAACTTGGATAGAAGATTTGATTTTCATTCGTATTCACGTATTGCTGATAAGCTGTGTTGATACAAGATTGATAATATTTATTTATTTATTCATTTATTGAACGAATAACTTCCAGACAGAATAGGCTCTGGTATAAGGAAGTACATAAATACCTATAGGTAAACATATCATCATTCAAAATACATCAACAACTGTAAATTGGCAAACAAAGCATAATATCTGTAAAAAAATGGCATGATTAATTTTATCCAGTTCGCTCAGAAAAAATCAGTTTTTTACTTCATTTTTGAATGTACCTATATTTCTGCCATTTTCAATATTGCCAGGTAGTTTTTGAATTCAGTTGAGGCTGAATGAGTGAATCTTTTTTGTCCGATTATGGAGCTAGCGGCGCCAAGATGAAACAAGTCTAGTTTCATGATTATGAATTTCAGAATTCCGTATCAAAATAATACTCGAATTCAATTTTTTATTTATGATATTATATGATATTTGAGGAGTTTCAATTCTATATATTTCATCTAAAGAAAAGGTATTTGTTATTTCATACAATTGATTGGTTAGTGTATCAAATGGGAGACGATACAATACTTTTAACGATTTTTCTATATAATTCTGATATTTTATTGAAATTATTATTTGAACAAGATCCCCAAACATTTATTAAATAGTTGAAATGACTCAGTATATGAGAGTAGAGAATCAGAATTTTTTGCAACTTTAATATCAAGTTTGGGACATCTTCTCAATGCACCAATAATTTGAGATATTTTTTTTTCAGAACATCAATATGTTTGTCCCACTTCAACCTGTCATCAAATCAAATACCAAGATATTCTATCTGGTCAGTTTATTTTAAGAGTTCATTTTTTATTTTAAGGTTGAGGTAAATTTCTTGTTTATTTTTTTGGTGAAAAATCATATATTCTGTTTTGTTAGTATTTATCGATAAAAGGTTAGAGTGGAGCCATTTTTCAAATATTTTCAAGACGGTAGGCATATCTGGGTTAATACGGATAAGAAAACCATCAATGAACAATACAAACCGGAAACAAAATGCAATGATCATGTAACGATAGTACACTGTGAAATGAACTCACCCACAGTCCTCACTGTGATAATCTTGCTCATCATCCCGTCGCCCAGCGCGTTCTTCCCGACTACCTGGAATTCGTACGTGGTGCCCGGTGCCAACCTGTTGATGGTCACCTGCGTGCTGCCCGAGGGCGTGACTGGGATGGTCGACCAATCGGCGACGCCCGCCTCGCGATACCAGATCGTGTAGTCCTGGCGGTAGTCGGGCCCGCCGCTGTAGCCGGGCAGCCAGCTGAGGGTGGCGGCAAACTCAGTGGCGGAGCCGGTCAGGTTGTAGGGCGCGTGTGGCTGGGTGCCTAAAGAACGGGAAATCGTATTTTTTTTTATTTTCTGGTTCCCACGGAAAGGGATATCCTGTAATGTTCAGAGAAAATCGTGAGAACCAAGGGAAATAAGGTAGGAATTGGTGTTCTTCTTATATTTCTGGAGGTTATATGCCTCGAGGAACACCTCCCTTGGCAATGTGTTCCAGAGCCTCGCTGTTCGTTGGATGAACAAGTCTTTGGAAAGAGATGTTCTGCAGGTATCGAAGGTGACCACGAAGGGGTGCGAAGCCTCAACTCCCGGGGACTGCCAAGGGGGGAACAATTGTTGATATTTCATAAGAGTATCGTCCATGGAAATATCTATAAAATAGAGCCAGATCACCAACTGTTCTACGGTGTTCCAGATAAGTGAGTGAGTTTGTGAGTGAGGCATCACCCACGAGACGAATTGCCCTTTTTTGGACAGAATCCAACAGTTTCAGGGTGTGTTCGGGTGTTGCAGTCCAAATATGGAATCTGTGCCTTATAGGTCATAAGCAGCTGACTGGAAGTGAAATAGCTCCTGGCCCGAAACAGAAAACCAAGTTTGTGGGATGCACTTCTAGCAATTGATCTCACGTGATTTTCCCAAGAAAGGTTATTGCTGATAGTGATACCAAGCATCGAAATGGATGTCTTCAAAGGTATGGTTAATCCTGACAAGCATATGTTGGGCACAGTGAAATCGGCTTTAATAGAGAAAAGGCATGCTTGTTTTGTTTGCATTGAAATCTACCAAGTTATTGGATCCCCATTCGAGAATTGTTGCCAAGTCCATATTTATGTTGTCAACATGTCTCCCTCGTTCGTTTCTGATTTGCCTGGCTGGTATTGGAGCCCTGGAAGAGAAGGTGGTATGGAGGGTACTATCATCCGCGAAACTCTGTGAACTGGACATGGAGTTGCTTCCAACAAATCGTTGATATGGAGTAGAAATAGTGTTAGTGCTAGAATTGATCCTTGCGGAACAGCAGCATTTATGATGATAAGAGAGTCAGATTAAACTCCGTCGACCACTACATATAGAGACTTGTTTGAGAAAACTAGGTAGCTGAAAACATAGCTGGGGAGGCAAGCCATAAGATGGAAGCTTGGCGAGGAGTCTGTGGTGCCAGACTCGATCGAATGCCTTGGAGATATCAAGTACCACGGCTGAGGTTTCACCATATTTTTCAATAGATTGCTGCCATATATGCGAGACGTAAGCGAGCAGGTCACCAATTGATCTCTGATGACGGAAGCCATATTGCCTATCCTTGAGAATACCTGAACGTTCCAGGTATTTCATGAGCTCGATGTTGATAGATTTCTTCATGGTCTATGAAATGATCGATAGCAGTGCGATCGGTCTGTAATTGCTAGGTAGGGTTTTTTGCCTTTTTTAGGAACTGGTTGTACTCTTGCAATATTCCATTTGGACGGTAATATCCCTAATTTGTAAGAGTTGTTGAACAACTTGCAGAGAACAGGTGTTAGTTCGGGAGCACATTTCTTGAGAACAATCGGCGAGATTCCGTCGGAGCCACAAGCTTTGTTCCTTATAGTACGTTGGCGAAAGGTGATCTCGGGCATATGACTGTCAATTGGTGTCATGTTTGGAGGTTGTTTTCCAGATGAACCCAGAGTGGAATTTCCAGCAAATAAATGCGCAAAAATGTTGGCTTTCTCCTGGGCAGTTGTGGTTAGTGTTCCATCTTCCTTGGTTAGAGGAGGAAACGAGCAGGAAGTGAAGTTTCTTCCTACAGTTTTGGCGAAGGACCAAAATGAACGGGATCCGTTAGGACATTCAACAAGTTTTGATCTTATTTTGGCATTATGAGCATCCTCTAGAGGGTAAATGCACTGGTTAACTGGTTTCCGATATCAGTTTCCGACATATTGACGGTTGAAATCGTGAAATATATTATCGATCACCTTGTATGTGATATTTCGATGACCATTCATGTAATTTGGGGCATGAGCAAATAAAAATTGTGATTAGGTTCCAAAATAAAGTAACGCCTAATATAGTTTTCAGATTTTTGTGATGTGATTCTGTTCACAGGAGACCATGGAATGGTAAGACAAACTCAATTCATAGACCATATCTGTAGTGTTTTTTAGTATAGTACATTCTGAAATGAAAAATATTTGAACATTCATTCTAATACAAAATACTCATATAAGTGAGCAAGGCAATCATTGTGAAATTGGTCACAAATTATGAAGAAAGTTCAGAGTTTTCCTCGGAACTCTCCTTCTAATAAAGGATGTGGAAGGAAAAGTGCGAGAAAATTGAGGGGATAATGCCTTCTGATACTTCAGGAAATGAAGTTAATATACAGGGTGAGTCGGGAGGAACGCATCAAACTCCAGATGCGTATTGTGCACGTGAAAATAATTTAAAAAAAACCATATGATGTTCTCAAACGATTTTCATTTGTTTTCATTCTGAATTCGAATAGATTTGTGGCATTTTATGAGGCTATGCATATTTTCACACTCAACCAATTAACCGAAATGTCAACTTTGAGTGGTAAATTCGTGTATAAGCTCATTAAATTGTATTTGAGTTAGTGTATACCGATTCCTTGATGACTTGAAAGTAATTTGAGAATATTTTTCAAGCGTTTTTTCGCACACAACTTTAAATATATTGATAAAAGAAAAAAAATCTACAATTTGCGATTAGAGGTCTATGAAAATTTTCTTCACATACTTATATATCAATGTTGTCATGTTTATAAATATATCTAAGAATATTCCTTTCCACTACATTTTAATGTTGATTCTTGACCACCGTCCATCAGATTGATTCACAAGGAAATTGAATGATTGAAAACACCCGACATCATGTAAAGATTATTATAATGCAAAACTCATTTCGAACTCAGGCAACTCCTGAAAACTAAATATAAAAAAAACTTATATTCAAACATAGGAACCCAATGATCATTATGAATTCGTGCAGCTGCATAGGTCTTACTTCAGGGTAAAATATGGTGAATATTTCAATGTAAAAATCATTTTATAGAGATAATCAGCTATGATATGGTCGATAACCAAAATTTAGTTCAAACTGGTTCTCGACCAGGGTGGTCGAGAACTGAATATGGTCAAATTTGTTATCGACCATCAATAAATCAGTTGCAGAAGGAATATTATTTATTCCTCTTTTGATGGTCGCAAACTAATATTTAATGCGTAGTTGGAAAAACAGATGAATATTTTTCAAAGAAAGTATGTAACTAGACATAAGTAATAAATCAAGATACGCTTTGGATAACGACCACTTTGGTCGAGACAGAAAAGATCCAATTTTTTTAAATCGGGTTGGCGACCACCGAAAATTTAACAAAAAAATAATATTTATGTCTGTTTTGTCTTATTGTCGAGCACTATTCACTGTTGCTTTCCAATCAACAGTGCTGCTCGTAAAATGGCACATGGAGTTAGCAAGATAACCTACAAAGAACACACAGAAAGAAACGATGATGATGTGGTTGTGAGCATCATAGAAGAAGTAGGACGGAGTATGTAGGTGGGTGTGGAAAAACTACCTGCTGAGCATGAGAGCGGGCTAATGCGGTTTACTGAGCCTCCTCTAACGGGGTTCAAGGTGAAATACTGGTACAGTTCATTGTACAGTGTTAGCGAAACATTTCGTGTGATTAGGAATTTCATGGGAATCTTATCGTTTGTGAAGTTTTTACATTTGCCATGTATTTCCATCAAGTAACGGCTGAGTCAATTCAAAATATTCGATATTCTCGAAAACTTTTTGATTTCCTTTTTCCGTATTATCGCAAGAGTTGAGATACTTCCCATGTGTAATTTTTTTTTCGTGTGAAATAGTGAAATCAATCTGTGATAGAAGTCTATGGCATCTCTGATTGGACCAGTTCATTGAAAAAGTCGTCTCCAAAATGTCAATAAAATGATCACCCAATCAGCCAAAGTACGTCTTAAAGGCGTCTTTAAGACGTACATGTCGGGACATAAGTACGTCTTAAAGACGTACATAGTACGCCCAAGAGACGTCTTTAAAACGTACATTTTCCACTAATATGTACGTCTTTAAGACGTCTTTTCTAGGTGTTTTTGGTCCATGACCTCAAATTGATCTTTCAAATTACGGAAAAATCACATAGTTTCAGTTGATTTTCACCTGTGCACTGAAGTTAGCAACAAGTGTAGACAAGCAAAAAAAAGGGAAATAAACGACTTCATCAAACGGTAGACACAAGCGGTCACCCATTCAAGTACTAACCGCGCTCTTTGTTGCTTGACTTCGATGATTATAATTACCATATTCACTTCTTCTGTTACTCTGTTTGTTCTATATATCACATAACAAGCTTTTACTTAGTTTAACATGTCCTTGTGTCTGTTTGTAATCAAAACGTGCAAGTTAAATTTGACTCACTTGAAATCGTCCGATTGATTTGGAATTCGGCAAGTAAATATTATTCCGGTGACAATTCGTTGTGATATTATTATTGAATGGAAAAAACAGAATGGCGGATCCAATATGGCGGACGATTTTCTCATTGATTATGTTCAGATTCGAATCAAAATTCAATATTCAAGATGGTGAATCCAATGTGGCATATGGTTTTCTGATTATGGTCTGATCTGATTCAAAATTGGCATTTGAAGGATTTCGGGATCAGAGATTATAATTCCTTTTGTAAAAATGAAAAATCCAAGATGTCGGCTTCAAAATGGCGTACGAGTTTTGTGATTATAGTCCGATTTTATTCAAAATTGATTACAATGGGACTTTTGGGGTCGGAGAATATGATTTTTTTGTAAAAATTCGAGAATCTAACACGAAGGCTCCAAAATGTCGGACGAAAAAATTCAAAAACATCACTTTTGTTGAAAATAAGAAAAAACTGAACAATTGAAAATAAAAGACGTGGAGAGAGACATTTTGTTTTTCTTCAGAAAATAACTTACATTATTGTTCTATAAGTCGAATTGACGTACTGGAATGTACGTCTTTAAGACGTCTTTTATACGACATGAAAGGAACGACGTGGATACGACCTAAAATGTACGTCTTAAAGACGTAAATTCGTGTACGTCTTTGAGATGTACATGGATTTACATCTTAAAGACGTACTTTATACGTCCCTGGACGTAAAGACGTAAGTAAGTCGTAAAATGTACGTCTTTAAGATGTCTGGTGCTGATTGGGCAGTAGTTAATTCTTATTGAAATTTCCTTACCTTCGACCACCAGTTGCGTCGCAGTTATTATGGTGGCTACTTCGTTGGTTGCAATGCACTGGTAGAATCCGAAATCTAATCTCCTCAGGCTCTCGATCGTGATGTTTCCTCCAACAATTTTCACGCGATTTTTCGGTAGCGGAGTCCCTAAATAAAAATAAAGGAAAAATGAAAAAAAAAATCTGGGTTACACTGGTTCTTGACTCACCGTCTCTTCTTTGCCATTGGATGTTCGGTTTTTGCGTTCCCTCGGCTTCCTGGGCATCACAATGCATCTCAACAGTCTCCCCCACTTTCTTCTGGTACATGGCCTCAGGTTCTATGGTGAAAACGGGGGGCTTTCGAACTAGCACCTCCATTTGACCCGAACTTCCTTGGGTGCCCTGCGCGTTGTAGGGAGTGCAAGTGTATCGACCCTGAAAGAAATAACACCCTGTACACCTGTACATCTCATAAGAGGAAAAATATTGAGGATGTTTTCGAAGAATACCTACGTTGAATAATCCGAAACTATGGAGGGGTAACTCAAGATTACTCAATAGCGTTTAAAATACATCTGATGCAAGAACCTTCAGACATCAAAAACGACTCTTCTCTAGATTAATAATTATAATCATTTCATTAAGGTGTGATTTCAAAAGATCTTCAGATAATTTCGATGTGTATAAGTTTATTAAATGATGAGATTGAACTTTGTAAACTTCAATTTCATTTTAACGTTGACCTTATCGATAAAAACATGAATTTAACAGCTCAAATGGAAATAATACGTTGAGATAACGCTAGTGTGCCATTTGGGTGAAAATGAAAGATGAAGATAGTTTCAAATGTCTGGTTGAGCAAAGAGAAAATTTTTGTAGAACACATACCTCCATAAATTGCGTAAAGGAAATATTATAGTTCTCATGTAAAAATCATTGCTTATCGGGATACATTCAATTATTTCCTTACTTGATGGTTTTCGTTGACTCTGGTGAACAAGAGCGATCCATTATTCATTATAACTATATCTTTGGTCTGGTAGGGCTCCAGCAGTCTCTTGTCTTTCGTCCACGTGACGTATTGGAGTGGGGGGTTGGCCTTGATGTAGCACTGCACCACGCCGGCCAATCGGAACGGTAGGTACTGGATGGTGGGGGTAAACGTTACTTTTGCTGGATCTGAAATATAAAAAACATTGGTAGCTAGCAACCGTGACGTTGACAACACCTCATATAGATGCCTGAATAACATATTGCTTTGCCATGCTTTCCCAAAGACTAGCTGAAGCAACCCTCAGAAGTAGCTCTAGCGAGGTCACGCCCACAGGGGGGGGGGTCCTATCTCCCTTGTAATGGATGGTCTTCTATTAAGAATAAGACGTGACGTTCGGTCGGGCTGAGTGTGAACCCTGAAAAGGCGGAACTAGTTCTCTTCACTAGGAAACGCATAGCAGGGAACCTCTCGAACGTCCAGCTTTCTGGCAGGTCCTTGCGAAACGAAGGTTCAGTCAAGTACCTTGGGGTCATCTTAGACTCCAAGCTGAACTGGAAAGAACATATCGAACATTAAGTTCGGAAAAGCACGGCAGCGTTCTGGGCATGCAGAAGAGCGTTTGGACGTTCGGAAGCACGGAGGAGTTCAGTTCCAAGATTATTTAACACGACTGTCATTCGCCAAATGATCACGTACGGATCCATCCGTATGGTGGCCAGGAACAGCATCCGACAAATCAAAAACTCAACAAGACAGAGTACAACGACTTGCCTGCCTTGCCATAACGAGTGCAATGAAGACGGCACCAACAAAGGCACTAGGAGCAGCTTGAGCACCGCCTGGCTCAAAGATGGGTGGTTCGGTAGGAACTGGAGTATATGGGCAATCTCCAAAAGCGGAATTCAGTTACGCCCTGGAGAGTTTTGCTCCAGTATTTCTGGTAGAGGTTCTTGCCATACTCGCCTGTTAGAGAAAATGTCAACAGAAGCTACCACGGCCAACTAATTACGATATGCTCCGACAGCCAGACGGCGATCAAGGCTCTCTCATCATACAGGGTCAGCTCGCTGTTGGTTATAGAGTGCATTGATGAGCTTCAAACGTTATCCACAGCCAACAAAATGAAACTTCTTTGGGTCTCAGGGCATACCGGATTACCCGGAAATTGAAAGTGCCGACTACCTGGCTAGACAAGGAGCAAATAGCTCAGCGATTGGACTAGAACCAATCTGAGGAGATTCTAGTTCCTGAAGCGCCTCAACCATGATGAATATCCTGGAAGCGAGAATCCAGGATGTATGGAGAAAGACACCTGATATGAGACAATCGAAACTCCACAGACCTTTATACCAGATGAACCAAAACTCTGCACACATTGAGCAGGAAAGAAATCAGGATAGTGGGCACTGCCATCTGAACAGGCACCTCAACATTATGAGTATCACTGATGATGCTGAATGTAGATGGTGCCTGAAGGATGAGGAGTCAGCTACTCTCATCCTCACGGAACGCCCAGCAGTAGCAGCAATACGGAAAGCGCATTTTGGGAACATCGTTCTGAACCCAGAAAGTGTGAGAAGGGTATCGGTGAGAAGGCTGGTCTCTTACGCTCGCAAAATCAGTTACCTTCATGACTGAACCAATGTCAAAATGTCAATGTCAACATATAATTGCACATCCAAAATCCTATCGTCACAACCGCAGGTAGAACGTTATATTGACCAGACCTTGGTTCACCATTACCCCAATATTCGAATATTGAATATGGAATCTGTTTATGTTTGAAAAAATGGAATCGACTCCGCGAAAAACTTGAACGGATTCAGGTCCGGAAATGATATCACTATTCTTCTCCGTGAATTTTATCATTGTCTTAATTTTCAGAAAATGCATGGTTTTCGAGTGTATATAAGAACTGCCTCAAGTTGAACTTTCATCCTCGAAAATTAAAATCGAATGAAAACATCTCAGACGATTGTAACGAAGTCAATTGAGGCAGTTTTGTAATATAGACGCAGCCAAGGGTGCTCATTATCCAAACTCTAACCATAACATAAATATACTATGTCTGTGTTCTGAGAATGTTTGCTTTGCTTTGCAAACAAGCGCCCTAATAGAGCTTATATTTCAAAACTGTTTCGATCAACTTCGTATGGGCTCTAAACTCGAGATTAGTTAGTTGAATAAGCCTTGAATACGTCACTGTGGCCAGTATGATATTGTTGGAGAAACAATTCTTATTATGGTTACCTAGGCCACTCACCTACTCGCGAAGATTTTTTTTCTGGAGTTAAGCTCAGTAATAAACTCTTTCAGCACATACAGCAGGAAGGGTCGCTGTATTGAAAAATCTTTATATTATGTGCCATATGCCACATGTGTCCAATTTGTCAAGGTATGGGCAATGATCATGGTAAGATGAATTGTTATGAGATTTGTTTCGTGTTTTGGGAAGATCTAAGAGCACTTCAACCATCTCTGATGATTGGAACATGGATCATTCAGCTTGTGGATTTATGGTGCACGTGACATTTCGTTCTTTGACAAGGATTTCAGCGGTTAAATTTCCTTCAATTCTCTCAGGCCCTGACAGTACTTCGCGATCTCGACACCATAGCCATCCATATTCTGATTGGATAATTTTTGTTTGCATAAATGTTCTTACGTTTATATATATATATTGTCATGCTTAGCATAGAATGAATTGCCCACACAGATGAAAGCTCCATTTTTACACAGAGGTCTTGAAAATATACAAGTACCTAAAACATTATCTCCGATTTCAATTCCGTCTACATTTCGCATACATTTTTAATGAATAATCCTGATTCAAACAGACATTGCTTGAATAATTCTGATTGCAAACGATTGCAAATTGCAACAAAATTCGATAATGACAGTTGACAGTTCCTACAACAATTGACAGGCCGGAGTGAAGGTGTGTCTTTAAAACTGTGTTGCCATGTTAATGTGTTCCAGAAATTGTGTTGCCATGCGTAACCTGTTTAATTTTTCGAATGAATCACAGATCGTCAATCCATGATTAATCGATCATTTAGCGAGGTACATACATATCCGTACGCTAAATGCCACTCTAGTTATGTGAGAAAAATCAATGCATACACCATAGCCGCGACTTGGCGATTATCTTTCCTCGGTCAGAAACAGTAATTCGTGGTGAGGGGGCTGATACAAAGCAAAAAAAAGCGCAGCAGGCCAAATTTCTGTGTTATTCAAGGTCAAATGCCTTCATATTAATAGTTGAAGGTTTGTCAGCGGGATTTCATGAAGGTGGAAAAAAATGTTTTTAAATTCAGTTGAAAATTTATTATTTTTAAAGACAACAAAAATCGATTTATAAATGTCAAGTTCACTTTGACCCGAAAAAACAATTTGAATATGAATACGTTAAATCACATTATTGTTGATGGTTTTTTCAATTTCTCCACTCGAAGACTTTCATTCAAATCGCGACGTTTCCGCAGATCATAGATACTTTTCTGACAACGCAAGTATGAGAAAATATAACATGAACACCATCAAAAATTTTTTCACAATTTTGGTTGTCATGCTTTCGGTTTTGTCGCTGGAAAAGTAAGGAGAAACTTTTTTCGGTTTGATAATGGCAAAATCACACCGGCTTACGAGGTTTCATAATATACATGAATTGAATAGTCATAATGATGAAGGAACTTGACGCTGCAGTTTTGACATTTTTCTGAATTTAGGAAGAAATATGAGGGGTTCAAAGCTGAAGTGAATCAAGTCCATTTTCGGTAGATATGAGATATGGATATTTGAAGTTGTTTGTCAGTGGTTGATTCCTATCTCGTTCAATCTGATGAATAAAGAAGAGAAAATCTCTACCTGAGACAAATAATTTCTATTTTTGAAATGAGACTGGCTCAATGATTTCCTTTTGCACTTTCGGTACTAAAGTATGTTCCTTACTACCTGAAATAGGGACAAGAATGTTCCCTAGGGTCTATAGTGAACCGTGTATCTCAAAGCAAACTAACAATATAGTCAATTGGTAAAAGTTGGTGCATGTTAAATCAAATCCAATAACTGATGAGTTATTATTTTAGTTTTAACTTTACCGAAGGTGTGAAAATACTTTGAAGTGATCCATTTGATCCCTATTAGAGTTGCACTGACTAAATTGAACCGTTCCCAATTTACTTCATTACCTATTTCAAATCAAAATTGAAATTAACTAACAGATGCTTGTCGATTTGAATTCTAACATTTGAAGGTTAACTAATTGATTAATAGTCTCCCAGAAAATGCATAGCTTCTGAGAAATGAACCACTCGCTTGATTGAATGAATCACTTGAGTACCGCGCAATACCTTGTTCTATAATGGCTCGATGCTCTATCTCTTCCATCATAAACCAATGCATCTTGGACTTGGTTCACTAATGCTCTGAAAGTTTCGCGAAATTATTCCCGCCACAAACACATCGGATATCTGCTCCATCTACAGCTTAAAACACTTAGTACGGACTTGGTTCATTACAGCCCGAAAAATATAAACTTTCAACAATATTATGGATGGTCTATGTCAGTACATCGCTATTATGGACTAGATTCACCTCAGCTTTGAACCCCTCATATATTAGATACTAGTTACGGGTTGAATGATATAAAATTCATTTTGGGAATCCTAATATTAATTCCGATTGAAACACTGAATTTTCTTCGATCGCCTGGGGAGGGTATTTACCACCATTATACCCCCCTCCTTGTATACGCGCCTGCGCCAAGAAGTTACTTCGCGGCCCAGGCCTACATAGCTATTTCGCGCCTAGGCCATCGTCCACCAATATTGGTGGACGATGTCTAGGCAAACAAACAACCATTATAATCTGATACTCACATTCGACGTTCAAATATGCCGAAGCAGATTGAGGCTCGCCGATCCCGTTGCTCACTTCGCATAAGTACTGCCCCGAGTCATCGGAGCTCACGGGGTTGATGACCAGGGACCCGTCCCGCTTGATGGTGACCCTGGTCTCCAGGGAAGCCAGTTCCCTGACGGGGGCCCCTTCCCTGAACCATTTGACCGTGACGTTGCCCGGCTGCGCCTTGGCCTCACAGTTGAACTGGACCTTCTCGCCCTCCAGTTTGGTCTGGTTCGTGGGGGGCACCATGATCACCGCCCCCCCGGCTATGATGACCCTGGCCGTGTGGGAGATCTGGCCCTCCCCGTTCCTGGCTATGCAGGTGTAGTCGCCGATGTCTTCGTGTCTGATGTTCGATATGCGGAGCTCCGTACCATCGTTGAATATACCTGAACAAAATTATAATAAACTCGCAGACCTCGCAAACGTTCTTTTGCTATAAACATTATTTCTATAATATATTTTTTTCTGTGACGAGAAAAAAGTTTGGCATTTCATCTCTGTTGGCAGGTTATGAAATGTCATTTTTCATAAATTACTTTTTTCCCGTGGGAAAAAAGTGAGTACTTTTTTCCCGGACATATCACATATATATATACTCTGTTAATGGCTTTTGTTGTGCTATAGTTCCGAAAAATGAGTCAATAATACCGTCTCCGAGAAAGAACTGCAAGTCCTTTTATCTTCCATTCGACTTCGCGGTTTCGTATATTACTAAACAACTACTGAATTCGCAATTTTTTAAAATCAAATCACAGAATTGAACTGACAGAAAGTGACATCAGATATTTGATTACTTCAGAAGAATGATAAAGATGCCTATAAAACGCAGGTGTCCCTACTGTTAAAAACTTGAAATTTCACGTCGATAATTTCCATATTTCGGAATAATGTAATATCTTCTCAATATCGATTCGTCCTTCCTTCTGTCACAGAAAAAATTAGTGTATTATACACGGGAAAAATATTAGATTTTAGCTCACGGTTCTTTGGACAACACAACCTGGAGCTAAAATCTAGTACTTTTTTCCCTTGTATAATAAATAACTATTTTCAGTTCAATATTCATCATGACACTATTATTATTTCATTTCGAACTTCTTTTTAGTTTCGCTATCTTTAAAAGCGTGTTTCTATAGTTTTTCAAACTACCATTTATGTCATCTTCTTTTTAGTTCACTTGAATTTTCCAATTCTGACGGAAGAATCATAATATCCGACTCCTAACCCAGATGAAAATTTTTGAATAGAATCGGAACATAATTGCAAAACCCGTCCGCAATATTGGATCTATACCAACTTGAATTCCCTAATTTTGACGAAGGAATCAAAATTTTTGATCCCGAAAACACCCACTCACAAATCTTAAATAGAATCGGTGTATAATCACAAAACTCTGGTATATTTGTTTCACGACCGTCTTGAATTTCTAAATTCCGCCCTTTCAAAATTTTGACAAAAGAATCATAATCTCCGACCCCGAAAGCACCCAGATAACAATTTTGAAGAGAGTCGGATCATAATTACAATACTCGTCCGCCACATTGGTTCCGTCATCTTGAATTTCCTAATTTTGACGAAAGAATCATGATCTTCGACCCCGAAAACCACCAGATACCAAAGTTGAATAAAATCGGATCTTAATTACAAAACCCACCATTTCGGAACCGTCATCTTGAATTTCTCAATTTTGGCGAAAGAATCATAATCCCCGATCACGAAAACCCCAAGGAACCAATTTTGAAAAGAATCGGACTATAATTACAAAACTCGTCCGCCATATTGGTTCCGTCATCTTGAACTTCTGAATTCCGCCCGAGTTTTCAGATTCTCATGAAGGAATCATAACCTCCGACCCCGAAAACCCCCAGATACCAATTTTGAATAGAATCGGACCATAATTACAAAACTCGTCCGATATATTAGATCCGCCATCTTGAATTTCCTGATGATACCGGGATAAAAAGTATCCTATAACCTTCTGCTGGTTCTAAGCTACCTCCCAACCAATTTTCAGCCAAATCGATCCAGTAGTTTCGGAGCCTATTCAATACATACAAACAAACTATCTTTCCTCTTTAAAATATTATTATAGATAGACAAGGACATAATCGCAAGAACCCAATTCGAAATGTGCGTATAACTGAAATATGTATAGTAAAGTAACGTCTAGTCAAAACCCAGACAGCACATAATGTTCTATAAATATTCTGACATCATTCAAATATACTTATTTCAGAATATTCTAGTAGGGGGTTCCCGGAATGTTCATAGAATAATCTTCTGAAGTAGTCCATACTCGAAGTAGAGGGGGATGAAAAAAACTCAAAGTCGTCTCCACAAGTTCACTGGTGAAGTGTACAGTCAATTTTGCTTCATAACTTTTGATTGAGATATGTTTCGACCATTCAAATGGGCATCATCAGTCATAGTACTAACAAAGTCAGTCTACAAAGAACAATTATTCTTACTCAACATCTAGCGAAATGGTTACACAGCTGAGTTGGAAATGACAAGTTAAACAATACAAAACTGATAATGTGAAGTGAAATATCGAAAAAACAAGTGAAATGCCATTATTATATCTATGTTTAAGCGTAATATTGATTGATAGTTTGATTATGAAAGAATAGTAATAGATATTGAAGGAACAAACATATTTAACTAATTATTTTGAAAACAAAATAGCAAAAAAGTGTGATGTAAGGAGATTGTACTCACGTGGAACTGGCAATATCATCATGAAGACGAAAAATTTTTATATATTATTATTTTATATATTAAAAGAACATGATCAATTAAAAGAACATTAGGTTAATAATATATTTTCAGGCTTACGATGCATTTTTGCATTTTCTAGTACTAGATTCTGAATACCCACAAACAGTAATTTATTTTTGCCCATTTGAACATTTCTGTAAGACCAATATCAACTGAGATAGCTATTGAGTGAAATATAAACAATCACCCTGTACTTTCATTTGTTGTTCATAGGTCAGTAGCACTGCAGTTTTTTCTTCATATATGCAAACGGGCAAATTTAATTGCGTGTAGTGTTCTAGTCTATACTGACCTATTGTGGAGGAAGCTTCTACAGGGCTGGCGTCCTTATACCATAATATTTCGGGCGTGGGCGTACCTTCCGCCTGACAATTGAGGATAATAGCGTCCCCCAGGTTGACGTAGATGACGTCTTCCGGCGTCACTACGAACCTGGGGGGAGCGTGAACGTCCAGGTGGAACCACGTGCCGTTCTTCGGCTGGTTGGGGGGACGGTTGAGAAACACCACCTTGCATTCGTACCTGGAATCAGACGTTGTACCTATAGTCAAACTCGTGAGTGGGAAAGTCGGAATCAGAAGTGGGATAGTCAAAATCAGAAGTGGGATGAACAAAATCAGAAGTGGGATAATCAAAATCAGAAGTGGGATGGTCGAAATCAGAAGTGGGATAGGCAGATACTCAAGAGATTATTTGTACTCACCATCCTTGGTCTGATTCTCTGATGTTGGTGAGATTGAGGGATGCGGCACCGTAAGGGGAGTCTGGGGATACTCTGGACACTCTGCCCTCGTACCCCTCGCCGCTGTGAGTGGGGTAACTTTCATACCAGATATAAATCGGTATGTCCTGTCCCTTTAAAAAGTACTCAATCAAGGCGTGCCCCTTCTATCAGCGAGTAGAACAGAAAAAAATGACTTTAAAGCTTCATCAACTATGAGATATTTCACAATCAAGTTTTATTTTGGATTTTATGGACTCGAAAATGTTAGAAGCGGTAGTAGCTGAATTTTTAATTGAGGATGATATAAAGATTTGTTAACTTGAAGCAATTACAGAGAATATTATTTGAGTACTCGTAAGAAAGGATACATTTCAAAGAAATCGAACATGTTTTTGCCAAATTATATTATATATAGAGGTTGTTATCAGGAACTTGGAATGGGTCATCAGAAGATTTTGATGTATCAGCTGAATTGTATTGAGTAGTTCATGATTAATACCATATTTACTGAAAATAGAAACTTTCATTAACATTTTTTATTCATCTTAACTGGTATTGTATTGTGGTGCGCTTTTTGGCACGAATTTGTTGTTGTTCAATAAACTCTATTCAAAAATTTTGAGTATTCATGAATTTCGATGCAGAAGAGTGAAAAACTATTTCGGAATGAAAAATTTTAGATAGAAAATCTAGAGATGAGTTGTATAGTGAATCTGAAGTTTTCTGAATACTCGACTATTTGAATATTTCAATAATATCTGAAAACATAGCGACATTGCACTGAAAACTACGAAGTTTACATCTTTTGAAGTCTTATATACATAACCAATAACATGACTCACTGGAAAAAGTAATCTTCGTTATGAAACAGAATTTTTCAAAAATTTCGAATGGTTCATGAATTTCAAATGGTACCACATATCATATATACCTAGTGTGTTATTGATGAAACTCTCAAATTCATAACGACTGAAAAATTATTTCTGAATGATAAATCCAATAATTATTGATACGAATAATTACTTTCGTCATGTATGTGAAATTTTCAGAAAATTGAAAATCTTCAGAGATCCATAGAACCGTGATGAATTTTTCACATCCAGATTCATCACGACAACCACTAATGAATTGATTTGAAGCAAACTATTCTACTGATTGAAATTCAGATAAATTGAATGTGCATTTGAAAGATTCAGAAAATTAGATATGTACCTATTTAACATTTTGAAATTTTCTCGAAATATATCCTTACGAAACGAGATGCTGCCAAAAGAATGAATCATGATTCATGAATCCCACAAATCATTTGTATATAACAATGATTTCCTTGGGATAACTCAAATCAGAAAATCTAGTTACTACTTATAGTATATCTATTCCAAATACCATTTTCAAATTTTCTACAATAATTATATCACCTTTCATTTCCGAGCTCGACTGGAAATAAGTAACTTTTTAAATGTAAGTAACTACAGAAAATGGAAGTATCTATTTCTCATAAATGTTTTCTTGTCATTGCGATAATACAGGGTGGCACGCGGCGGACGCATAGACTTTGAAAAATCGTGACTTTCTTCCTAACGGTCCTAATAAATTGAAGGTAGAGGTAGGTCGAAAGAGGAGGATAAGTGGTTCATGTTCCATGGGGTTTTAGTCGATGAGCAGTAGGTGTTTTTTGTGTGCAGAATTATTCATCAAATGCTCGGTAGATTGTCAGTGTACCAACTCAACGAGATGATTTTGGGTATAGGTTAGTTGGCCTAAATCGACTTGTTTTTATCCCAGGAGTCCACAGCCGAGCCATATTGCAACCTTTCACAGACACCCTGTATGTGCACTTAGGTTAAAGTGTAATAGCTCTTTGTAGCGAAACTTTCGCCTAATAAAGTCCTATTATCATCATCATTATTATATTATTAAATCGCCAGAATTCCTTTGACAATGCTTCGAAACATTCACGAAAACTTCAGGAAAAGGCTGTGTTAATGAACAATTTCATCTGTAACAGTCTGTGTTAGATTCCATTTTCAAATCCATGCGTCTGCCTCACTGCACCCTGTAAAATGTAACAATGAAGTTCAGCCCACACCGATAGAAAGATAGAAGTTATTAAAGTCATTTTGAAAGTCCCATTATACACCGCAGAGGACTAATTAACGAACAACAAATATCTACGAAGCAGAGGTATTTTGCAAGCTTTATATTGTGCACAAACAATGAAATAGCGTTTCGGACACAAAACAGTACAATAAAGGCATCGCAAAGTTGTTCGCGATATTCGCCCAGAATACACAATCAACTCATGCTCGTAGCTGAATTTCATAAATTCGTCATTAGCGAGACAAATAGTACGTCATAAGAGCGGCATTCGTAATCAGATGTAGGATTACATCTCGGACGAGATGAAATAATTCACATCGCATGTATACTTCGCTTTTATCACGATCGGAAATGGAATATCTGATATCAGAAATGGCATATTAGATATCAGAAGTGGGATATGCGATATCAGAAGTGGGATATGCGATATCAGAAGTGGGATATGCGAAATCAGATGTGGGATTACTTTTACATTAGGAATGGAATATGTGACATCAGAAGGAGGACATACAATAACTGGTCACAACAAATCGTAGAACATTGGTGAAATTAAGTTTTCCTATTGCAGTATGGAAATTAAATAATAATTCTCAAGCCTTGTGGATTTTTGCTGGTACTTGTCGATACTTTGATTCTTTGTGCAATGAAAACGGATTTATTATGATATTTTAATTACACAAAACTTGAGTTCAGAAATAGAGGATGTCGTTAGAATACACTATAATTTCTAAAATGTCATTCTCGAAAAGATTGTAAAAAAAATTGGAATTCATAAATAACTGTGAAAACAATAATACGTTGTATCGCATCATTCAAATACATATTTTTCCAAACAATTTCATTAAGGGGGTTTGTTGTTCGGAGAGAATATCTATAGGCTCACTACTTTTGGAAGTATCCACATCGGAATCAAAAATCGGCTATATTTTTCTTTCGACCTTATTTAGTGTCTCAAAGCAAGTTTTTCTCCTCTACAAAATGGCTGTCTGGATGTCTCAGGGTTGTCGTCAACCAATTTCAATGAATACGGTCCTGGATGTTTCATATATTCCCTTTGAGAGGCCCAGACCATGAGAAGCTAATGGTGTATATGGAGAAAAAGTTACAATAACAAAGTGAGATTCATTTTATACATTTCCACGTTACCTCTGAAGAGTGAATTACGTTTAGTATTTGAATATCCGATTTCAGAAGTGGGATCATGTTATAAACAGTGCTGAGATGTTTCTGAATGACACTCGATATCCATCGAAACTTTATGACTCGAGTAATCGATAGAGCTTCGTCACCCAAAGAGCCCATTATTTCGATCAGCCAAACTAGGTTCTGACTGTTCCGAGTGTGAATCCTAAATTATCACCGGACTTGGTCAAACTTGCGATCTTAATCAAGCGGACTCGGTTCTAATCGTGGGAACTGCCCTGCCCGGTCAATAACTAGGTCGAACTCTGTCCCCGGAATGTCGGGAGAAAGATTATGGAACTCTTGGGGCTTCGGAAGATTTAGGAACAATTGTTTGGGACGGTCCCGGTTAGTTGTCGCAGCAAGAAATATATTTCTTGGAACGGGCGATAGGTTGAAGTTTACAACGCTGGATACCTTTATTGCGAACATGATTCTAAATGTCAATAAAAACGCTATACTAACTTAACTACTAGCGACTACTGCAAGGTGCAATACAAAAGGGTCACAGAGAGATATAGAGAGACAGATACACATCTACACTATTAGACAAAAAACACATATGGACCATTCACTTTTTGTCGCCATAGTAAAAACTCTGTGGCTAAGAGTTTTTCTTCTCTGTTTTGTCGTGATTGGAATGTTATCTTGTAATGTCAACTTTTCTGCATTTCTGATTTTTATTCAATATCAGAACACCGAAAAAATTCGAGGGGTGATTCCTTGTGATATTTCAGGAAATATAGTGCATATAAACAAACTAACTTGCTTCTTCTTCGTTTTCGAGATACAGGGTATTGATATTTTTTCTATTTGTTTCTCAATTATCTTTACATTAATTTCAATAAAACGTTGTGGTTCTGTTGATAGTATTATGGAGTTTCTTCACGGAAAAAAGGAATTGTTGAATCAAGCAAAATTTTATTGAATGAAGCAAATAAAAGTGTCATATATGCACGACAAAATATAATCTTGAAATGAGTAAATCTATATCTTGTTTCAGAGCGAATTTGAAGTTTGAATTGAGTAAATATGTCTTAAATGAACTCAAGCACATCCATGAATTGTTCATGAAGAGATATTGAATTGGCTCAAACAATCATTTTGTTTGATTCAAAATAACAAGATATTGATTCAATCAAATATTTAGTTGATTCAATGGAATATTTGGTTGATTCAATGGAATATTTGGTTGATTCAAAGCAATATTTGGTTAATTCAATGAAATATTTTGTTGATTCAATGAAACATTTTGTTAATTCAAGAGAAATTGTATTTTCATTCGACAAATTGTTGTTGTCGAATCAAATTCAGTATCAATTCGGTTTTTTTTTTAAATTTCACATCAAAAGAATTAACTGAATTAAGAAACTAGTCAACTTCTAGCAGAGCTCTCCAGTCCCTACTTCCCTTCAGCTGATGTAAAACTATTTCGGATTGCTAACCATCCTAAGTTAGATTTATCCAGCTGATATTTCAAAGACAAAGAATCCGGCCTCACGTATATAATGAATTCGAGGCACGCATAGACGAGGCGAAATGATCGCCATCTAGAGGCGAAAATGTAACTTGATGTAGAATGAACAAAATATTTCATTGATATTACATATTTCGTTGCTCTATTCAAGCGAATGATCCGTTCGAAACGAGTTCATTGCTACTTCGGAATAAGAAAACTTGTATGTTGTTTCAAAGATATATTCTCATCAAAATGATCATTATTTCATCAAATCAAGAAAATGTTTATAGTTGAATAAACATCGACATTATTCTGGATCGACATCATTTGTTCTTGAGGAAACCATATATTTTGTTGATGGAATTGATATTATACTGTTGATTCAATTAGACTACATTCTTGATTTGAACAAGCTGCTTCCAT